TCTTTTAAAAAACTTACTTTGTCCTTAAAGAGGAATTACAAATATGACTCTTGAAGTAGCCATGAGGCAGCCAGTGGAGGGAAGTAATTCCAGCTTTGAGTCTAAAATCAGGCCCTCGGGAAATCTGCATATGTCTAGGGATGTTCATGGTTCAAGCTGAGCTTCTACCAGGTTAACATATTTCAATCATAAATTTATGCTTTCAAGAAACATTTATTGAGAAATATTATATATCAGTCAGATACTCTCTCCTTAAGGAATTTATAGTCTTCTGAGGGCAGTTGATTGCAATGTGATATAATAAATGATAGGGGATATATATATATACATAGGCACACCCAAGTGAGGTACCTAACCCAGAGGGTGGAGTGGAGGGAAATGTTAGAGAAGATTACATGGAAGATGTAAGTGCTATACTCAAATCCTTAAGAACAAGGAGGAGTAGGAGAAAGAAAAGTATTTGTTCTTCTAAAGAACTTTATGTGCAAAGGCCAGTAAGCAAAAATGATGCATTAAGAGTACTTAAGTCCAGCTGGTATGGCTCAGCAGTTGAGCGTCAACCTATGCACCAAGAGGTCACCGGTTCGATTCCCAGTCAGGACACATGCCCAGGTTGTGGGCCTGATCCCTGGTGGGGGGCATGCTGGAGATGGCCAATTGATGTTCTCTCTCATCGATATTTCTATCTCTCCCTCTCACTTCCTCTCTCTCTAAAATCAATAAAGGGAAAAAAGAATTTTTTTTTTATCCTCACCCAAGGACATTTTTTCTTTTTCTTTTTTGTTCAGATAGAGTGGGAGGGAGGGAGAGAAAGAAACATCGATGTGAAAGGTACACATTGAGTGGCTGCCACCCGCACGGCCAACCAGGGCCGGGGACAAACTGCAACCGAGGTACGCGCCCTTAGCGGGAACCGAACCCAGGTCTCTCTGGACCACAGGCTGACGCTCTGACCGCTGAGCCAAATCGACCAGGGCTTTTTTTAAATATTAAATTAAAAAAAATAAAAAGAGTACTTAAAATACACCCTGGCCAGTTTGGCTCAGCAGTTAGGTTGTTGGCCCTTGGACCCAAGAGTCAAGGGTTAGATTCTAGTCAAGGGCATGTACCTGAATTGCAGGTTCTATCCCCACTGTGTGGAAGCAACCAACCGATGTGTCTCTCTCACATAGGTATTTCTCTCTCTCTCTTTCTTTCCCTCTCCCTTCCTCCTTTCCTCCCTCTCTTTCCCTCCCTCCGTTCCACTCTCAAAAAAATCAGTGGGAAAATGTCCTTGGGTAAGGATTAACAAAACACGCGCGCATGCACATGCACACACACACACACACACACACACAAACGAGTACTTAAAATAGTTTTGGAAAGCTAGAGCATAGTGTTCTAGGGGAAAGAAGCCAGAAGAGAATAGTAAGCAGCTTCCTGGTTTGAGTGCTAGACAGTAAACCCTCTATTTTGCAGACCTCAATTTAACAGATTTTAAATTTAACAGATAAGATTTAACACCCTATTAATTTTAAAATGCTTTTAACCAAGATTTGCTTGTAATTAACAGATTATTTTTTGTTATTAATATACTGTTATTTTTAACAAATTTTAGCAAAAAGGACATTTGTTGGAAAAAACACTAGTAATTTTGCTGACATAAGTATTACATATCTACAACTATAGTCTACATGTTTAAATCCAAAAGTCACTGCATGTAAATAGTGTTTGGGGAATGATTAGCATATGATCACACCACATCATGCCCATGGTAATTGGTTCTGTTGTCAAGTGGCGGGACTTTCTGCAGCAGTTGGGATGTGTGCTGTACCAGCACTAAGCCATGCCCCAGCCATGTGCATTTGTTTATTTGAGGTGACTGATGAATGCACACATTTACTAGACCTATAAAGTATAAATTTAAAATTACAGTAATACATATTGAAAACTTTTCTATGAAATTAAACTTCTCATACATACTTAATTTTAATTATACAAACATGTCTACATTAAGTAAAAACAGGTAAACTAATTTGTCAGTTTTTTAATGTACACGTTCAGAAACCTACTTTGTTATATAACAGGTGTTCAGCTTTAACGGACACCTCATTGCCTAAATTAGTCCATTATATCGAGGTTTTATTGTACTAAGGAATTTGCACTTGACTGAGAGGAGTATTTGAAAGATTTTTAAGCAGAGGGGAAGGGATTTATATAATTAGATTTGAGCTTAAAGATCATCCTGGCTAGGGGAAAAGTGGAATTGGAAAACTCCTACCTCTGGCAGTATGGTGGTCAGAGATTCAGAAATTTGGTGGTCAGGAATAAATCTTGGGGTTGGGATAAAAGTGGGAGGCTAGATATAAATGTCCCAGTTGTGTGGCATTCCCCCAAACCTCCCATGCCCGACTCTCAGCAGAAGCAACTATAGATCTTCCATTCTGGAGGAAGACATCCTCAATTTAGGTCTCTACAATCTCACAGATTCTCAAAAAACTAAATGTGGACATCATAATCAAATATCATCAGGCATACAAAGAATCAAACACTGCCCTGGCCAGTTTAGCTCAGCAGTTAGAGCATCGGTCCACGGCCCAGAGAGTCGTGGGTTTGATTCCGGTCAAGGTTGCATACCTGGGTTGTGGTTCGGTCCCTGGCACTGGTTGGGGTCATGCAGGAGTCAACCAATCAATGTGTATCTCTCACATTAATATTTCTCCCTCTCCCCCTCCCTCCTTCCACTCTATCTAAAAAAATCAATGGAAAAATATCCTTGGGTGAAGATTTAAGAAAATAACAATACTTAATGTGTTACATACAGATAACAACAGTAAATTGCAAGCCAGATATGAAATGACTCTTCTGAAAGCAGTATAGAGACAAAGGAAATGGAAAATATAAAAGAGAGGTTAAACATGGGGAGCTAGGATATGAAAGATTGAAGTCCCAGATGGAAAGTATAAAGAAAATAGAGGAAAGCCAAAATTCTCAGAGATAAGAACTGAGAATTTTTAAGAACTAAGAAATGGACCTATAGATATAGGTCCTATAGATATAGCATATCACAAATAAGTTAAGTAAATTCACAACAGTCATGTTGTAGTCAAACTGCAAAACACCAAGAGAGAAGATCTTAAAGGACCAAAGAAAAAAGGCAGATTACCCAGAAAGAAACAACAAGCAATAAGAATTATAGATTTCTCACTTGCACAGTGGAATCTAGAAGAGGAGGACGTATCTTTAATGTGATAGAGAAAGCTATCGAGCTAGAATCTTGTATCCAGAGAAACTGTCTTTCAAGAACAATGGTAAAATAAAAACATTTCAGATAAACAAAGTAGAGTTTGCCTCCAACAGACTTTCACTTAAGGAAATTCTACTTTAGGAAGAAGGAATATGGTACCAGAAAGGAGGTCTGAGATGCAAGAAGGAATGGTGAGCAAGGAAATTGGTAAGCATCTGAGTAAATCTAAACAAGTGCTACCTGTATAAAGTAATGATGCTGTTAACCATGTCTAATTTGTGAGGTTAAAAAGTAAAATATTGGTCAACTAGGACAGTGGTTAATATATTGACTCATTTAAAAAATAAATTAGATCTTGTATTAATTTTCAATTGTTGTGCATGTTAAAATGTCAAGGATAACTTTCCTAAAGAAAAGTAAGTACCTAATTTCCAAAGCAATAAAGAAGAAAAATTTAAAAAAAAAAAAATTTAATGTTAAATGAAAAATTCTTTACTACTATTACTAGTAATTTAGTTTTGGGATTGCTTTAAAGCCATGTTAGACTGTCTCGGCCAACATCTAACTCACCCAGATTCTCTCCAGTGGGAGGTAATGCTATACCCAAAGATGGCTAAAGAGTGTTGAACAGTTCTGATGGGTGCTCTCTGTATTAATCATAATTCATTGCTCAGAATCTTCAAGATTCAATTCTGCCTTTCAGTAAAAAGTTCAAAGCATCAAGGCTTTCTAACCAACTGGCCCCAACCATCTTGATCTCATGACTTCTCTTTTAAATCCTTGAGTTAGATCCCTAAACATACTTGAGGTCTCCTTCCTTGACACTTTAGTTTAAAGTGCCCTCTTGAAGAATAGGTGGAGTTGGAAGATTTTCCTGGAAAACCCTCCCTCTCTGCCAAATTCAACCTATTCTTCAAACCCCAGCTCAGGTCCCATAAGAGTTCCTGACTACTCTAGCCCAAAAGTGACTTACAATTTGAAAAACTATCATCTAAATCAAACTTACAACAGTCCTTTATGCCTGTCTCTTCTGCTTTTACAACCGAGCTTTTATTTAAATTTTATATTATCACAGAACTTTGCTGAAGTTTGCATGGTCTTTCCAGCTAGATTTTCAGCTCTTTAAGACAGTGGCTATTTCATATATGTCTTTGTATCCTCTCGGGAAAGGGAAACTAACATTTAAGGGCCTAATATATGCCAGGCCCTTTAATAAATGTTTTCTTGTATATAACATCTCATTTATTTCTCGCAGCAACCTTATAAAGATAGATATTAGTGTCCCCATTTTACAGATCAGGATATTGCACTTGGGAAAGGTTAAGTCACATAACCAAGGCACTTAACTAGTCAGTGGCAGAGCTGGGTTTCACCTATACCACCCATCAAAATAGCTTGTATTATTAATACATATCATGGAAGAGTAAAAGGCTCAAATGGATTGTACATTTCTCTATTTGACTCATTTTTATCCTACTCTGAAATTTAGAGTATCATGGAAACAGATTTCAAAGAAACCCAAATTCTTCTCAAAAATTAAAGTTTGACATGCCAATTGTTAACTAACAGCCAAAAACACAAAGAACTTAAAATCAGACTGAAAATCATATTGGGGGGGATTAGATTAAAGGAATTAAAGAGAGATTCTTTTATTCTCTTTGAGTTCATGTAATAGAAGGTGAAACAAATCACAACAGAGTGTACCATTCTTAGGGTGCTTGCTGCAAGTCCATATCCCTTTCAGAACATTCTCTTCTCTTTTTCCCTTTTCTAGGGTTACACATCTTTTTGGAATGACTGCATATCATCTGGACTTCGAGGAGGCATCCTGATAGAGCTGGCCATGCGGGGTCGAATCTATCTGGAACCCCCCACCATGCGTAAGAAGCGACTACTAGACAGAAAGGTACAGCACCCTCTGTAAACATTCTCTGAGCTTGTGAAAGGGCAGATGCCAGTGCTCCCTTTTGGAGGAACAGAAAGATTGAGTAGTGACACAAGATAAATATCACTGACTCAGCTGTCCCACTGTGCAATAGGGTTAATTATTCTATATCAGAGGGAGAAATCTAAGGATCCATAGTCTAAAGAGTTGCAAGAAATTCATGCTTTTGTCTTTCTTTTTTAGGCAGGAAAATCACATTTAGGATGCTGTTTATTATGTCTCCCTATATAACTATTGCTATAACATGAAATAGAGTTGTATGTAGGAAGATGAAAACACATGGGTCAGGTGCAGTCTTTGCTGAACTCTGGTCATCCTCAGATAATCGTTCAATTTCTCTTTCGTTTACTACAAGTCCTCTGCAGCATGTGAGCCATACTCCTGTCTCCATTTTCTTACTCCTCTTTTTTCCACTTACACTTTCACTGTCATACTTAGCTCTCTTAGCACTGAAACCACATTCTTATGTATCACCAGCTTCATTTCTGTCTTTATTATTCTCTTTTAATCTATATGTGGCATTTGACACTGACTACCTCCTCCTACTTGAAACTTTCTTCATTCCTGGCCTATGTTATATTACATTCTCTTGCTTCTCTAGCTGTACCCTATTTCCTTTACTTCTCCATTCCTTAGCATCTAAGTTTCAGTTTGTATCCCTTTGCATAACTTCTATCCTTTTTATGATATCATTTACTTTTTCAGCTTCATCTATACCTCCATGATACTAACTACTAAATCCTAGGCCTATCTTCTTTTGCCTCCCCAAAGACATATTTAACTATTGGCCAGGCATTTCACTTTGGCTATCCCATATCAGTTAAAACCAAACTTAACTTTTCCCTAAAACTGGCTTCTTTTCCTGATTCTCCTACCTTTATTAATTGTTTTACAGACTCAGAGAATCATTATTGAATCTTTTCTTCATTATTATTTATATCCAGTTTGTCACTAGGGCCCACATCAAATGTTATTTTTGTCTCTCCACTATCACCCCATACTAGATTTTTCAACTTCTTGAGAACAGGGACAATATATTATGCTGCTTTGCATTTTCTACAACACTTAACCAGTAATATTTATATAGTTTATTAAAAGATTTTAATTTGAATGAATTGAATGAACTACTGTTCCTTGTACCTTGTTTCTTCTTTCCTGAAAGGTACTGCTGAAGTCAGATAGCCCAACGGGTGATGTTTTGCTGGATGAAACTCTCAAACACATCAAAGCCACTGAACCCACAGAAACTGTCCCAACATGGATAGAGCTACTCACCGGTAAGGTGGCTCAAAATGATTCAGAAATCCCACACTTTGTCATCTTTATCCTACTGTTAAGGTCAGGAAAAGAAGTTCAAAGGGCTGGATAAGACATATATGGTTCAGCCCTGGCCAGTTTGGCTCAGGATTTAGAGCGTTGGCCTGCGGTTCAGAGAGACCCGGGTTTGGTTCCCACTAAAGACACGTACCTCGGTTGTAGTTTGTCCCCGGCCCCAGTTAGGTTGTGTGGGTAGCAACCATTCGATGTGTCCCTTTCACATCGATGTTTCTCTCTCTCCCTTCCTCTCTCTCCTTCCCATTCTATCTGAACAAAAAATGAAAAAATGACCTGGGGTGAGGATTAAAAAAAAAAAAGACATAAATGGTTCACTGTTTAACTGTACTAATGAGGACAGAAAAAGCATGGTTAACCAATACCTAAACCTTTCCAAAGCTTTACCTTACTTTTCATCACCCTATCTCGTAAGCTCTTTAACAATATCCTTCACAAGAAAGAATATGTAATTCACATACCATACAGTTGACCTATTTACAGTATAAAATTAAATGGATTTTAGTATATTCACACAGTAGTGAAACTGTTCATCACAATCTTAAGTTTAGCACATTTTCATCACTACCAAAAGAAACCCCATATTTGTTAGAAGTTTTCCTCACATTTCCCCCAACCCTCCTGCCCAGCTCTAGGCACCCACATTTTGTCTTTATATATTTTTTTATTCAATATTTTATATATAAATGGAATTGTACAACAAAGTTTTTTTGTGGCTGGCTTCTTAAGATAATTCGCTCAAGGTTCATCCATGTTGTGTGGCATCTATCAATTCTTCATTCCTTCTTTTTTTTTTTAATCCTCACCCAAGGACATTTTTCCATTTTTTGTTCAGATAGAGTGGGAAGGAGAGAGAGACAGAGAAACATCGATGTGAAAGGGACACATCAAGTGGTTGCCACCCGCACAACCCTGCCAGGGCTGGGAACAAACTGCAACCAAGGTACACGCCCTTAGCAGGAACTGAACCCGGGTCTCTCTGGACCACAGGTCAACGCTCTAACCGCTGAGCCAAACTGGCCAGGGTGGCAAGAAACTTTTTTTCTTTATTGATTTTAGAGAAAGTGGAAGGTAGAGGGAGAGAGAGAAACATCGATGAGTGAGGACATAGATCAGCCGCCTCCTGCATGCCCCTCATTGGGGTTCGGACCCATAACCTGGGCATGTGCCCTGACTGGGAATCGAACCAGCAACCTCCTGGTGCATGGGTCGACGCTCAACCCCTGAGCCATACCGGCTGGGCCCTACTTTCTTTATTAAGGGCACCTTAAAAAACTTTAATGAAGTAACTAGAAACCTAAGGCATTAAATTTTAGGAGACTCTTCATCAGGGCACTTGGAGGTCACAACCAATATCACCTTCTGGGACAATTTTTTTTTTTTAATCTTTATTGTTGAATGTATTACAGATGTTCCTCGTTTTTCCCCAATTGACCCACTCCTCCCCACTCCCACCTCCCCTCCTGCCTTTTCCCACACTATTGTCTGTGTCCATTGGTTACATATAAGTTTTTTGGTTTATTTCTTCCCACCCCTCAACCTCTTTCCCTTTGCGGTTTGTCAGTCTAGCAACCAATTTCTACTTCTTAATCCCTTCACCTTTTTCATCCATTTCCCCAACCCCACTCCCATCTGGCAACCAACAAAATGTTCTCTGTATCTATGAGAATGTTTCTGTTCTGCCTGTTCATTTTGTAGAGTCCATTGTCAATAGATATGTCTTCATTGCCATTTTGTTTGTTCATATATTTTATCTTTTTCTTCAAAAAGAACCTTCAACATTTCATATAATACTGGTTTGGTGGTGATGAACTCCTTTAACTTTTTCTTGTTTGGGAAACTATATGGCCATCGATTCTAAATGACACCTTTGCAGGATAGAGTAATCTTCGTTGTAGGTTCTTGCTTTTTAACACTCTGAATATTTCTTGCCACTCCCTTCTGGCCTGCAAAGTTTCTTTTGAGAAATCAGCTGACAGTCTTATGGGAACTCCTCCCCATAAGGGAACTCCCCATAAGGGAGTTTAATGATGATGTGCTTGGTGTGGGCCTCTTGGGGTTCATCCTGTTTGGGACTCTCTGTGCTTCCTGGACTTGTATGTCTGTTTCCTTCACCAAGTTAGGGAAGTTTTCTGCCATTATTGTTTCAAACAGGTTTTCAATTTCTTGTTCTCTCTCTTCTCCTTCTGGCACCCCCAAGATGCGACTGTTGGCACGCTTGAAGTTGTCCCAGAGGCTCCTTACACTACCCTCATTTTTTTGGATTCTTTTTTCTTTTTGCTGTTCTGATTGCATGTTTTTTGCTTCCTTAGATTCCAAATCGATGGTTTGCTTCTTGGCTTTACATACTCTACTATTGAATCTGTGTAAATTATTCTTTATTTCAGTTAGTGCCTCCTTCATTTCTGACTGGTCCTTTTTTATGCTCTTGGGGCCCTCACTAAGTTCACTGATGTTCTCACTAAGTTCATTGAGCATCCTTATAAGCAGTATTTTGAACTCAGCATCTGTTAGGTTGCTTAGTTCTCCATTTCGCTTAGTGCTTTTCCTGGGGTTTTGTTCTGTTCTTTCATTTGGGACCTGTTTCTTTGTCTCCTCATTTTGGCCGCCTCCCTGTGTTTGTTTCTATGTATTACTTAATGAGAAATATGGTGCTAGCTGAGACCAGATGCTGCTTGTTTGAAAGAATTTAGGAAAACCTGAAGCAGGATCCAAGACAGGCCAATCCTATGGTTAAGCAACTGGCAACAGCTTGGGTGGGGTGGGGCGGGGCCTCAGGGAATCACCAGGGCAGGGCAACCAGTATTAGCCAGGTTGCTGGAGTCCCAGATATGGTGGCTGTCTGCCACCCCAGGGAAGGGCTCACCAAAGGAACAAAGGCCTCTGACAGCACGTTTGTCCCGGAGAAAGCCCCCTCTTCAGCCCTTGCTCCAATGCCAAACAACTCAGTTCTTTCCTGTATGTCTCTGGTGCCCCTTGAGCTGCCTGCCCTCCAGGCTTAGAGGGAGTGAGTCCAATAAGTCCGTGCGCGGGCCCTTTAAGAGGAGCTGCTGGGGCTCCAGCCGTCTCAGCCTCCCTCAGCCTCAGTTCCCACTGGTTTTTCCAGCCAGAAGTTATGGGGATTCTCTTCCTGGCACTGGAACCCTGAGCAGGGTGCCTGGTGTGGGAGGGGGGGCCCTCAGTCCTCAGGGAGGACCTTCCCAGCCGAGGTATCCTCCTGGTTTTTATCCGCCTCACCTGGGTGTGGGACCAGCCTGTCCCGCCTCCACCCCTCCTACCAGTCTCGATGTGGCTGCTTCTTTAATTCTGTAGTTGTAGGACTTTCATTCAGCATGATTTCAGGCGGTTTTGAATGATGGTTGTTCAGTAGTTTAGTTGTAACTTCGATGTGGTTGTGGGAGGACGCGATACCGCATTTACCTATGCTGCCATCTTGACCGGAAGTTTTTTGGGGGACAATTTTTAATGGAAATTTTTATTGAGATATTTGTATGTTCACATGCAGTCATGAGAAATAATAATACAGAGAGATTTCTTATGGGCTTTGCCCAGAATCCTGCACTGGTAACATTTTACAATACTATATATGACAACCAGGATATTGATACAATCTACCAATCTTACTAGAATTTCCCCAGTTTTTGCCCAATCAGTGTGGCTCAGTGGCGTAAGCATCACCCCATAGACTGAGAGGTCCGGGTTCGATTCCTGTTCAGGGCATATGCCCAGGTTGTGGGCTGGATCCCCAGTGAGGGGGGTACAGGAAGCGTATGATAGATGTTTCTCTCACACATCTATGTTTCTATCTCTCTCTCCCTTCCCTTCTCTCTAAAAAATCAATAAAATATATATTTTTTTAAATGTTTAAGAATTTCCCTACTTTTAACTTGACTTCTTTATATTGCCAAATAATTCATTGTATGAATGTACCACATTTGTTTATCCATTCATAAGTTGATAGACATTTGGGTCATTTTCATTTTTTGGCTATTATGAATAATGCTGTTATGAACATTCATGGACAAGTCTTTGTGTGGACATGTTTTAATTTCTTTTAGGTATGTGGTTAACTTTTTTACTGTGATAAGGTACACACAGCATAATAGTTATCATTTTAACCATTTGTAAGTGTACAAATTCAGTGATATTAAATACATTCACAGTATTGTGTAACCATCACCTCTCTCTATACTCAAAGCTTTCTCATCATCCCAGACATCCCTCTTCCTGCCTCCTCTCATTCCCTGGCAATTCTTATCTACTTTCTGTCTCTATAATTTGCCTTTACTAGGTAACTCATATAAATGGAATCATAACATTTGTCTTTCTATATTTGGCTTATTTCACTAAGCATATTATTTTCAGAGTCTATCCATGTTGTGGCATATATCGAAATCTAATTCCTTTGATGACTACATAATAGTCCATTGTCCTATATACCACATCGTGTTTATTCTTCTATTGATGGATATTTGGATTGTTTCCACTTTTTTGGCTGTTGCAGATAATGCTGCTATGAACATTGGTGTACAAATATCTGGTCAAGTCTCTGCTTTTTGTTCTTCTGGCTATATACCTAGTTATAGAATTTCTGGATAGTTTTATGTTTTGAGAAACTGCCAAACTGTTTTCTATAGAGGCTGCACCCTTTTACATTCTCACCAGCCATGCATGAGTGTTTCTCCACATCCTCATCAACACTTGTTATTTATTTTTTATTTTATTTTATTTTTCTTTATTACTTTTTTTTTTATCCTTACCTGAGGACATTTTTCCATTTTTGTTCAGATAGAGTGGAAGGGAGAGAGAGGAAGAAAGAGAGAGAAACATCGACATGAAAGGGACACATCAAGTGGCTGCCTCCCGAACGTCCCCAACCAGGGCTGGGGACGATCGCAACCGAGGTATGTGTTCTTGACCAGAATTGAACCCATGACACATTGGT